AGTTCCCACGATTGCCCAGCACAGCTGATTGTAGCACAGCTGATTGTCGGAACGTTTTTTTTTTTTTTCACTTTTTAAAGCATTTTTTACTACTGGTTCGGGCGAATCGGCCCAAACCAGTAGCATTTCACCCCTGGTAAACCTCCTCCCTAGTTAGAGGAAAGATGGATTAAGATGGAACAAACAGTGTGAAGAACTTTCTAGAAGCTTCATATTGTTTATGCCCTTTAGCGTTACTAACCTCTGGGCCCTCTTCCTCCTCTTAGCCAAGCCTTTGGCCAGTATCCCATCCCTAATCTCCCCTTCTATTTTCATTTGCAAGCCCTTTGGCACAAGAGCGCTCCTTGGCAAAGCAGAGATGCGTCCCCTTGGTTGCTAGAGAAGGCAATTGGAAAGTCACACGTAGCAACATTGCGGGGAAAAGCAACCGGCTTCGCTATTCTTAGCTCAGGAATGCACACAGTGCCGTGTTGTGGTACCTCGCTAACCACCCTTGGAAAAACAAGGACAGCTCCGTGATGTTAAACAAACCTAGAAACCATCCCCAATGAATCCTTCAAACGGCGAAAGAATAATATGGGGAGGTTTCATCATGGCTTCTCCTCTCCCTCTGCTTTTCAAACATTAATCTTCCGAGGCAAGTTATAAGCATGGAAAGTTTCAGCAGAGGATAAACAAGCCAGAGACACTGAAGGTTTGGGAAAGGATTAAGGTAAACAGATCTGCCCCCATTTTTTTTTTTTAAACTACAAGCAAAAGCCATTAGATCTTGGAGAAAATTGCTTTGGGATTGTTGGGGTTTTAAACCTCTCCGTGCAATATATGCCGGTTATATTTTGTACATTTCGTTGAAGAATTGGATGATGGGGTGGAGGTGGGCTAGCAGCTGTTGTCCTCTTTAAAAAGCAGAGGGCTTTTTTTTTACGATCTATTGTTGTTTTGTGGTGCAGTCAGAACCCAAACTGATGCATTGAGAAAGAAAAGCTAAGCATTGGCTGCATCTTATCGTGGGTGTTCAGTAGAGCTGAATATAATTATAGAGTTGGGGACAATGTTTTAGCAGACTTTGAAATCATGCAAAGAAAACAAATCCTGTTTGGGACTTATCTAAAATCATCACTGGAGGATTTCAAGAAGAGACTGGACAGCCATCGGTCGGAAATGGTGTAAGGTCTCCTGCTTGGGCGGGGGGTTGGACTAGATGACCTACAAGGTCCCTTCCAACTCTGTTCTTCTGAAAGCAAAGCAACTCACAGTTAAAAAAAAAGTTTTTCCCTATAGATTCCTAGACACAGTTAGTTTAATTTATTGTGTTGTTTGGCAAAGTTACATTCTTTAGAAATGACTAAAGTTACTTTTTTGGTGGTGGGGATGCTAAATAGCCTAGAATTTTTAGAGAGTTTCCTCCTTATGAACAATCCCCCCCCCCTTTGGTGTTTAATCCCTGATTATTGAAAGCATTTGAAATGTTAAAAATTTTTTTTTAACTCATTGGG